TATCCGTTTCTGCACACGGTCAGCAAAACCCGGCCGTTCGAGTATCTACGATTGACCAGCTTGGGAGTGATAGGAGCGCTGGTGAAGACGGACGAACAGGAGGTAATTACGTTTCTGCTCACCACCGAGATCATTCCGCTCTGTCTGCGTATCATGGAGAGCGGCTCCGAGCTGAGCAAGACCGTGGCCACGTTCATTCTGCAAAAGATATTACTCGACGACAGCGGTCTCTCCTACATATGCCAAACGTACGACCGATTCAGTCACGTTGCCATGATTTTGGGCAAAATGGTCTTATCTTTGGCCAAAGATCCTTCCGCCAGGCTCTTGAAGCACGTGGTCAGATGTTACCTCAGACTTTCGGACAATCCGAGGTAAGGTGTTTACAATCCGGTAATTCGCGTGTGTGTAACCTGTTTTACCGATACCTGTTTTACCGTTGGACAGAGCGTTGCTGGCGCTTAGGCAGTGCTTGCCGGATCAACTGAGGGACAACACGTTCGCGACGTGCCTGCAGGAGGACGCGTCGACCAAGCACTGGTTGAATCAGCTTCTGAAGAATCTGGAAACCGGGCCCCAACCCGGACCACCGGCGCAGCCGGGTCAGCAGGATCCCAGGACGATCGGCATGTCGCCGCTCGCTTCGTAAGCCGTCCTCGGTCACGTTGCGATCCGAACAACGGACACGAATGGAACAGCAAGTCGCGATTTCAAGTTGCGCGATCGCGCTTCGCAGACAACGCCGCGAACGAGTAGCGCGTGTGGAGAAGCGCAAACGTCTCGTCGTCACACACGGTGGCAACGATAATGCGGGAAACCCTCCCTCGTCCCTTTTTTTTACCGTGTATGCCCTTTTTTCCCTCCCTCCCCGATTCCACTTTCCGATTTGTGTGGAAAAGGTCGGTTGTTGTGTACATTGAGAATATAGTAAATATCTATAGAAATATGTATACGTATGTACGTTGGGTTCTATCATCATTTCATGCTAGCGCTACAACGTCCCTTTCGTTGTTCCGAAAGTTACCGGACGGTAAACGGCAGCGGGGCGGGGGCGAGGGCGGCGTCGAGTCCCTCTCACTTGGTTTTGCCCGTTACGAAGCACGGTTACGTACGCTCGTGGCGATCTTTTCTAGTTCCGCGCCAGTTTCCTAGGTGGAAAAAAGCAAGCGTAACGGGTTGGCCGGTTTTGTTACGTATATAAGTATGTATGTACTTGTTCCGTGGTGCGTAGGAAGCGACGAATCACCGGCGTGTACAGGTTCTGGTCACCCGGCTGCCGCTCCTTCGGCCCGGTGATCCAAGAGACGAGAAGCCCGAGCAGTATCGCGGTTAGGAAACCGACCCAGGTGTACCAGAGGTAGGACATTCTGTAGAGGAAGAATGGTTGCTCCCTGGAAAGCAGATAGAGAGAGAGCGAGAAGAATCAGTGGGGGAGGTGTGCTTGTGGCCACGCGTTACGATCTCTTCTCACTTGATCGCGGTCTCGACGACGAGCGTGAGATTAGCGGCGCTGTGACCACCCCTCAGGGATTCCGGGCATCCGTCTACGGACACCGGTTTCACCGGGAACGCGATCATTCCGTCGGAAATGGCTGCCTGAGTGCCGAACGAGATCCAAGCGACCAGGTTCAGGCTGACCAGACCGCCGACCAGAGCTCCCTGCGCGTGCATATTTAATCGTCGAAACGATCAACGTACCACGAAAATCGTTTCTCTCTCTTACCGTGGAATTTGCCGCGGGAAAGAACATGCCGAGCGTGAAGATTCCGAGCAACGGTCCGGCCGTAATCCCAGACAAACTTTTGCCAGCCTGAATCGAGATCATTTTATCGAATAACCTAACCGAGCGTCGCGATACGAATCTACCTGTATCAGTCCGGAGAGCTTCTCGACGAGGAAAACGAGCGCTACGCACAAACTTCCCGCCAATACCACCGTCAGCTTCATCGCTCGACTGGCCGCCAGGTCGGAGAGAGGAACGCGCAGACACGGTTTTATCATGTCCTCGTAGATCACGCCGGACATGGAGTTCAACCCGGTGGACATGGTGCTGCGGGTTGACACGGTTTTTTATTGTGCTTGGTGGGAAAAGGTGGTATTACCTGAGCGCCGCGCTAAACACCCCCGCGACGAAGAGACCGGGTAGTCCGGGGATCGCCTCGGCCATCTCCATGACGAAGAACGGCAGTAGTTGGTCCGGTTTGCGTATTTGCTGCCGCGCGCCACACGGAAAAAGAGAGCGTGTGAGCGAGAGAGGTTGGCGGCGGGGCAGAGAGGGAGAGAGCGAACGTTACCTTGGCGGTGATCGGGTCGCAGTCGTAGAAGGTAGCGAAAATCACGACGCCGGTGTAGCAGCTCAAGGAAACGATGCTCGTTATGCCGATCGCCATTATCGCCACGGTTCTGAAACACGGAGGTAAGGTAAGGTGTGCACAGAGGTACACCTCGGTGGTCACTTACGCGTTGGCCTTCTTCAAATTGGGCATGGCCAAGCATCGCTGCACCATCGCTTGATTCACCGAACAGCTTGCTAACCAGTTCAAATAGTTGCCTATCACCACGGACCAAAAGGTGTGCCTCGTGGTCGGATCCGGATCCATGCTATGGACAGATACATCACAGGAGGAAAGGCGGCGAAGAGAGGGACAGCGGATGTATGAGGGACGCATCTCTTACTCGAAGAACTGGATTCGATCGGTGTCGCGGTTTCGTTTCCAAACCTCGGCCAATCCACCGACTCGATTCGTCCCGAGCACCGCCACCGTGATCACTCCGCCGAACATCACGATCGTCTGAATAGCATCGGTCCAGACCACCGCTTTCAAGCCACCCTGAAAAAATTCGATCGCGGCTCTCTCTCTCTCTCTCCTCTCTCCTCTCCTCTCCTCTCCTCTCCTCTCCTCTCCTCTCCTCTCCTCTCTCACCAAAGTCGTGTAAAATATGCAAACGGCGCAAACCAGGAGCGCGGTCGCGTGCAGATTCATCCCGGTGACTTGATTGAATGCCAACGCGGGAACGTATATCACCAACGGGATGTAGAGTAGCTGCAACGAAAAACGCTCTTTCTCCTCTTTGATCGTCGCTGGGGGACCGTTGCTTACCATTTTTATGATAAATATCACCGAACCCATCAGTCGAACGGCACCGTTGAATCTCAGCTTGAGGTACTGCGACACAGACGGTTAAATCACCGCGAGAACAATCTCGTACCTGCGAGAGTCTGTACTATACGAACCTCGTAAGAGGAAGTGATGCCCAGGCCGTAGAACACCGGCAGATAAACGGCGGCCATCGTCAGGGAGACGAACGAGTCGGCGATTATCACGCACCAGAACTGCGTGCCGTAGACGTACATCTCGGCGGGCAACCCGAGGATCGTTATTCCCGATATGTAGCTGGAAAAGGAGAATACCGGAGTAGCGATTGTGGTCTCTCGAGAATAGCAGAGTGGCGATTGAGCAGAGTTACCTGGCTATCAGGGACATACTTATAGGGAAAATGGACATGTTCTGTCCGCCCACCAGGTATTCCCGCACCGCGTCGACGTTTTTTCGCGAGCGGTACGCCTGGTACACGCCGACGATGGCCGAAACGGCGAGCATTCCGGCAAAGACGGCACAGTCGATCAGACCGAACGATTTCTGCGCCCAAGCGTCTCGCTCCACGATGCCACCGTCCTCCATGATACCCCGTGTGCTCGCGTTGTACTGCTTCGAAACTCGGTTTCAGAGCCGCGGAACCGGTGACGGACGAGTGGCGGCGACCACGGTTAAACGAGGAGAACCGGCTCGGAGGGACGATTGAATAATTGGAGATTCCGTCGTTATCGTTCCCACTCTGCTTCCTTCATTGTTTCCTCTCCTCTCCTCTCCTCGAGCTGGCGGTCGGCGCGTGCACCGATCGCCAATCCCCGCTTCCCGCTCCCCGCGCGCATCCTCCCGGAACGCATTTAACCAAATTGCTCTTTCTTTCCCCGCCGCCCGCCGACCACCGTTCTGTTTACCCGTCCGATCGGTTTACCTTTTCTCGCGTGTCGCTCGTTTCCCGCCTTCGATCGATTTCCACTTTTTTTTTTCGCGCTCCGACCCGCGATCGGCCACTCCCTGTTGCGATGCACAGCCTGGGCCAGAGGGTATTCCTTGTTGGACTGTTTCGAACGAGGGGAGTAGCAGAATGAGACCGATCGAAGCGGTGCTGTTAACGACGAGCCTGATCGCCGCGTTAGCCACGAGGCTAACGGCAGCGATGGAAGAACCGCGGACCAGCGACGGTCGAGTCTGGTACGCGAACGTGACGGGTGACCTCGTGCTGGGAGGTCTGTTTCCGATTCATCGGAAGGGTAACGGCGGTGAGAGCTGCGGCGAGATTCAGGCGGAGGACGGAATTCAGCCGTTGGAGGCGATGCTGTACACGGTCGGCCGGATCAACGAGAACCCGAGGATACTTCCGGGCGTGCGGCTCGGCGTGTTGGCTTTCGACACCTGCGACAATCCCGGCTACGCTCTCGAACGAGCGTTCTATTTCGTGAAGGGTAAGCGCAAGCGCAAGCGCGGGGACTTTCCTCTCTTTCGGAATGAAACGAACGGTTTCATCGGGCGTTAGGTTTGATCGCGCGCGGGAATCGGTACGGCGACGAGGGATACCGATGCGAGGATCAAAGCGTGCCAAAGTTCTTGAACGGCGGATTCGATCGCGTGATCGCGGTGCTCGGCGCTCAGTCCAGTTCGGTCACCATTCAGGTTGGTACGGTCGCGGGGGTTGAAAGCGTGACGTGGTCTCCGGAACGTGGTGTGTTCGCAGGTCGCCTCGGTGCTCGCTCTGTTTCCGGTCCCGCAGATCTCCTACATGGCCACGTCGCCGTTCCTCAGTACGAAGGAGAGATTCCCGCGCTTCTTCCGGACGGTGCCCAGCGACGTGAACCAGGCGCGCGCGATGCTCGAGATCCTTCGGTGAGTAAGGTACGTAAGTAGTTACGTAAGGCGTTACCATACCGTCGCGATTACCTTCTCCTCTGGACTCGGCGCGACAGCCGATTCGAATGGACGTACGTGTCGGCGGTGTACACGGACTCGGAGTACGGGAACCACGGGTACGAGACGCTGGTGTCTTTGGCCGGCGAGTACTCGATATGCTTCAGCGCGCCGCACCGAATCAGCGAAGACCGGTTCTCGGAGGAGGACTACGACAACGTGGTACGCACGATCGCCGAGAAGACGGACGTTCGAGGTAATAATCGAGGTAGATGATGCGGTGCGAGAGGGGAGGTCGTGTAGCGAGAGGATGATCGGTCGCAGTGGTGGTGCTGTTCGCGGAGAAGTCGACCACGTTGCGGGTTCTGGAGGCGGCGAGACGCGTGAACGTTGGCTCGCGTTTCGTCTGGCTGGGCAGCGACTCGTGGCCAGATCGACGAGACGCCGGGGACCGGGAGACGAGGATGCTGGAG